TTCAGGAAATCAGTGAGAAAACACAGCCAAATGTGAGAAGGAAGGCTGTGTTGTATTATAGCATATATCATAACTTCAGTGAGGGACAAAAGCATGCAGCATTAACCCTAGTTTTTCACTGTCTCCATAACAATAACAGTTGAAAAGTAAATGTGTATAACCTGCCTTTTACTTTACAACCATTCAAGCTAAATGTGCTGCAGATGCTGCTAACTTCTTTTAGTTCCTAACTCCTTGGTGACAGGTGAAAAAGTCATAGTGGCTGGCATGATTTCTTGTTCATGATATTTTGGGGGATTTTGCTAATCCCCGGTGGAACGAATATGCAGATTATGTGTTGTAACCTGATCTTTCATCATTAACATAAATGAGCGGATGCTAAACTACAGGGGTTAAGATGAACACTTATAAATATGTCAAGGGGGAAAATAGTATTTTAGAAGGAAAATCTGTGCATTAATTAACAAATGAAAGAAAAGAATCAAATTAATGATGGCTCAAAAGTAGCTGAGATACCAAACTTTAAAAAACCCAACTGTATATAGTCAGTAAATGAGGACTAACTAATGAAAAATCACTACTGATAATGAGCAGATGAGGGAATACTGTACTTGGAGATTGTGAATATATGCAGATCCATTAGTACAGATAATAGGCATCCTAAGACCCTGATCATGCAAACACTTATACATGTGCTTAACTTTATGCACATGAGTAGCTCCACTTAAATTAATGGGACTACTCATGCATAAAGCTGAGCAAATGCATACAAGTTTGCAGGACTGGGATTTAGGTGCTAAAGGAGAGTAAACAAATTGAATCACTGATCATTATTTCTGAAATCCATGGGGAGCCAATGAAGTACAAAAGTCTGGACACTGTAGAAGCTATATTCCAAAAGATGGAGAGAAGGGATTCAGGAAATTACTGCCTTTATGTCAAACTTGTAGTCACAATAAAATAATGGAACAAATATTGGGGGATGGGAAATCCTTATCTAGAATATAATTAAATGGTGGGTAGTAACAACATGGATCTATAATGAACAAATTCAGACAAATCTTACTCACAAATTGTTCAGATTGGCTTGGGTTTATGTGCACTTATTTATATCAATAGTTATGATACATACAAATAATTAAATCAGGTTTCTAGGGCATGGCTGTAAGGATTGGTGAAAATAAACATCACCTCAATAAAATTCACAGATCGTACTTAAATCTATGAGTCTCCATCATACCCTCTGAATATTGAAGAGTAAGTAGGATAAGAGATAAGAACATTTACCAGCTGGAGAAGGAGATATAGCAAAGAGTTGCAAAATGGCTGCTTTAAGGCAGCAGTTGTTTTTATCAGTCACATTTAAAGAGCCAGCAGCTCTTCAAAAGGTATTCTGGGAAGAGAGGTCCTAGAAAAGTGCAATTTCTCCCTGGGGAGATTTGGTAACCTCTAGGCATTCAAAGATGAACAAGTATGTGTAACAGCCTATGGCCTTGATCCAAAGTCCATTATAGGTAATGGAAGGACTCCCACATGCCTGCTCAAATTGTGTCTGATGGAAAGTTTCACAAAAGCATTCGTAGCTATTAAAAACTACTAACGATAGCAAACAAGGAACAGCTTGCTTGAATATTTCACAAGGAAATGAAGTGCAAAATGGCTGTTTAAGGCTGTTGTAGTTTGTATCAGCCACATTTAAAGGGCCAGCAACTCTTCAAGTTTGACATTTTCATTGTGGTGAAATAGTGTCAGCACACTGAAGTGGATACCATTTCAATTCTATACCAACCACAAACACGTCATTTGATATACAGATAGCTTTTCCAGTCTGGTTTGGTAGGGAAGCCTTTTTACTTGTGTACATGAGAACTGCCGAATGGCACCTTGAGGGACTCGTGTATGTCTGAATATAAACTGAAAAGGAGGAGCCCAGCAAAGGGTGGAATTTTGGGAGAGTATAAAGGGCAGCAGTTGTGCGCTCTGTGACATGGCTAGCTTTTCATCCCATTCCCCGGATGCGAAGGGGGTGAGGGGAAAGGACTTGCATTCTGTGCATGCCTTTCATAACTGGCTTGTGAAGGGAGATCACCTTTCCCCTCCCTCCCTTAGCGGCTGGGGACATCCTGGAGAGCACAGCTGCTGCCTCCCCCATCCTCCCAAAATTCTGCCCCTGTTTTCAAACAGTACATAATGGGGGAGGGAGGAGAGGGGAAAGGGAGCACCGATCTCAAGTAGGGTCTTTGAACGCTGCTACAACACAAATAGCAAAAGATATTTTTTACTAGAGTGGCATGAAGCTGCAGCACTGGGCAGAAGTGCCTGAACCATTCTGCTTACATAGAGGCAACATGCATTTGCCAGCTGCCACCACATACAGCAATGCTCCCTACAGCTGGTCCAAAATGAGCATAAGGTGCTTCCCACCTAATCTGCTTTGGGACACCAGTCTATGTATGTTGGGAGGGCTGTGACCTGGCCATACCACCTTGAAGCTGAGTCCACTGCTGGGCTGTCAAAGCCTCTCACCACACTCAGTTACCTATCCTGCTTTCCTTGCAGCCTGAATTTAACTCCCTATGCAGAAATGAGAAAATGGCTTATGTGAGAAGAGAAAATTGCCTTGTATGGGCAAACCTTATGAAGAGCAGTTTGTAGCTCACAATCACGCAGAACTGAGACATAGGAGGGCTAAGTATGGTATCTGCAAATAATTACTTTGCCCACCTAAGTAACATTACAGCCTATAAATAGTAATAATAATTACTATACATTAATGTTGTGCTGTAAATGCCCACGATTGCCAAGTGGGACTACATAGCAGAATAAATGGCCACACTGAGATACTGCCATTCATGAAAAAATTAGAGTAGAAAAAAAATTGGGACAGTTTTAAGTGTAATTTGAACAGTATTTGTGATGGTGGCAGCACATGCTTGTTTCTTCACAGCAGGCAAAGATTACAGGTGGTCTATTCTGCAGTGCTGCTCTTGCAGCCTGAAACTTCCAAAGCTGGGCTGGCTGTGAGGATAATTATCCCCTAAATGCTGTAGCTTCTTTGAAATTCACTTTCAATTCAGTGAGGAATGGAAAGGAAATAATTATTTACAGAAAGAGCAGGTCTTTCTTAACCTAGATCTTATTTATAATGTTCTGTAGCACATCTACAAATGTAACAGTGAACATACACTGGTTAGTAGAAACATTCTTTCTCTTCACACACAATTTCAAAATTGAATCTTAACATTTTATTTTTATCTATCTTGTTCACTAATTTCTCTCAGAGCCTCCACTGAATCCACCTGAATGTGCCACTTTTCAAAGTTCTTAATCTGTAGATATTAAAAGAACCTAAATTAGTCAGTTGGTGATCAGCTGGCCTCACAAAAAGGTTATGCAGATTTCTTATTTGAACAGCAGTTTGTTCATTTTATGCAACTTGCCTGAGTATATGAATTTTCTTAGCAAAGCCATAGATAATGTGTAGGTGATGCTTTCCATATGGTTATTTCTGGTGGTTCTTATACTCTATGCTTTGGTTTTGTTGGAAGCACACAGAAATTATTGTAATTACTCTGAAACCAGAATTACATTTCTTATATTGCATCTGAAGAAGTAGACGGGTACATCCACAAAGCACATTGACTCTGAAATACAATTTGACAAACAGAATATTTATGTGGTACATGATTTATTCATTACTCCCTGTCATATCACAGGACCTTTGCTACTTTCATAATTATTTAATTATTAATTTAAATGAGGTTTTATCCATGACTTTATTTTTCCATTTAAGTCACATCAAAAATAAAGTAACACAGTTTGTGTGCCTTTATACCTATTGTAGTAGCAGAATATGCTTCATTTGCTAAGTGCCCCATTCTACAGAGACTTATGCATGTGCTTAAGGACTTCGGTCTCCATGAAAAATACAAGTTTTTATCCACTGTGGAAGAGTCTACTGAATAGCTCAGTAAAAATTAAGTCAAGACTGTCAGTGGCTGTCTGAAACTCAACACTAAATTACAAGGGATGCAGAAACAACTCCAGTGAAACACATGAATCTAAAAATTATGAAATCATTGAAAAATGTCACTACTCAGGTAATAGCTAGAGAATAGCTAATTTTCAAGAGCTTTGTGGAGCAACTAGAAAGTGTTGTAGCAGTATCCCATGAGAACTGTCTGTTCACCATGCCAGGAAAGAAATCCTCTCTCCTTTAGCTTGCTGGCTCATTCAGTGACAGCCACCTTCCACCTATTGTTGAGACCATTCTCCCTCCCTCAGCTCAAGAAGCAACAGTATGTACTTGCCACAGAGGCTAGTGTAGACCACAGAGCAGCTGCCTACTGAAGAAGCTAGCCAGGAAGTGAGAAACTGATTGACCCAATGTATGGCTGAGGGCCAATTTCAGATGTTCATTGTGGTAGATGGCTAAAGATGAGGGAAAGGCTCATTTTGGGAATAGTATCAGAAATGAGGCACCTGTGCAAGATAGGGCAAGTGTTGATGAGATGACTGATGTGCCTAGTATAATAATATTTCAATATGATTTAGTGAGGACTAATATAATAAGGTGCTAAGATTTAAGAAACTGCAAGAGTCACATGATGGATCTTCTCTTACATGCATGGACCTCTTATCACTACTTGGGAGGAAAGTAAAGTATCAGTGTAAAGATTTGACCCCTGGATTGAGTTTTGCTCTAAAATATGTTCTTTAATTTTAAAGTCCATTGTAATGAAATCACGTTGTGGGATACTTTCTGTCAAAGGTGCTATTTCAATCTCCCTGAGCATACTGAAGTTGTTATGCAGTTAGCAGAGGTGTTTCTTTGCCCAGACAACCTTAGTGCAGGTTACACATTTCTATATATGAGATAAGAGATGATGCGTTAATGGGTATTCCTGTGAAAACACATATGTAAGTGATATGCATCTGTATATCCCCATAGCTTAAGGAGAATATACAGCTAGCAAAGCAGATGCAGCAAAACATTCAGGCAAAGCAATAAAATGTGTTCTTTATTTATTTAAGTGAATTATAGGAAACATGTTGAAAGAATGAAACAAAACAGTTCTATTTTATTAACATATTTTACACACAGGTGACCAATAGAAAAGAAATGAAAACAAGATTGCCGCCTGAATTTTCCAAAGAAGATTTTGACAAAAGCACACAATATTTCTAATGAGAAATGTTCTGTAACTAAAGACTTGTATGTACGGATAATAGATAAAAAACGAGCAAATTTCACCATTACTAAAAAGGCTTCTTTTTTATAAATAAAATTTAAAATGTCTTCTTTATTTCAATAGAAAAAAACAGCAATAGGATTTTATGAACAGCTACATATTTACACAGTTCTCTACCAGTAAGGTTACTGGGCCTGATTCTTACAGGTGCCACACTTCCTGAGAAGGCAGTGGGATCTGAGGGGTTTATACTTTACCGGATCAGGCACTTAAAAGTGTGACATGACAGCAGATCTTATAAGGTGACATTACTGGAATTGCAGAAGCAAAATGTTTAATCCTTAATCCTGGAAAATGTACATGAGCAGGTCCATTGATGTCAACGGAATTACTCACATGCTTAAAGTTAAGCACATGTAGAACTGCTTGCAGTAACTGTGGGCTGGAAGGAAGACTAGTGCTTGTAATAAAGGAAGCAAAGGAATCTGCTATATTTACAATATATTTTACAGTGAAATCAAAGGCACATAGCCTGGCATTTACACTTGCATTGATTTGCCCATGTAACTTATGCTCCTGCATTTTATTTTGACAAATAAGGTCAGGATCCTCAAAATGTCTACCAGATGACAAACTCATAAAACATATATCTTTTCCAAAACCTTCACAAGTCACAATGCTAGATATAGAGATCTCAGTCTTTCAATAGTTAAATAAAACCAGCACTGAATTCTTGTGAAGATAGTCACAGAAGAAATTGGACTTACAAAATGTCAGTCCAAGTTATTTTATTAGACCAGACTTCAGAGGAATTCCTTACAAGTTAAAAAAAGATTAATATACAACTATATATGGAAGGGAGAAGAGAATTATATGAAACCACAAAACATTTTAAATATCTACTTTAAATTGAACAAAAGCTTGGGCTGAAACAAACTTGAATCTATTAATACTTTAATGGAACCCATTCCCTGTAGATGGTATTAAACAACTTTATGTGAAGAAGCTCATTACCACAAAAAAGACAACAGGCATGTTTCCACTAGCAAAGTGATTAATCCAATCAGCTGTGCCAGTTGGTTCTCTCTCTCTCTCTTGCTTTGTACTGCAGATACATCTAATATTAGAAATAAACCCTAAACTACAAAAAGCTCCTAGCATCCTTAAGAATTCTACTCTTTTTGTTTATGATTTTTGTTTTATAACAATACAGTTTATTTTATGTATGGATACTGATTGTATACAGTATAGTTCAAATACTATGCATGAATGTACAATGCCTATACTGGAGAGAGAGAGTTACTGAGTTAAGAGAGTACTGTTTACTAGGTCATTTCATGTTTCACAATGCTACATTTTCTGAAATAACAATAATGTCTGTTTTCCTCCCTTCTTCCATTGTACTGCTCATACATATTTTTCTTCCATTTACCTTAAGCAGCTGAAACAGCAAGGAACATTTTTGAATAACCTATAGTATTCTTCCTGGATCTGAAATTAAAAGATGCGATTAAAACATGAGATAAATTTATGTTTGGTAAAGCCAGTATTCTATTTTACTTGGTTTTAAAAGTGTTAATATTGAGGTACAGATTTTGGCATTAGGAAAGGACACCAAAGATGACAATCTCAGAATACCATATTGGAAAGTGAACATTAAACCCCAATTCAGATCCTAATTGAAAAGGATGAAGACCAGACGTATTCAAGCTTTTACGTTATTTCATAGACTAGTTGCATTGTAATAATGTTTAACACTGAAATGAATAGTTTTTAAAACCCTAAACCTGAGAGAAATACCTGAAGAGATAAGAATTTAGGGTGCGGCCCCACTGAAGTCAATGGCAAAAGTTCCATGGTCTTCAGTGGGGTCAGAATTACACCAGTTGGTGTCCTGCAAACACACACATGAGTAACTCTGCATAGGTGAATACCTTCTTAAAGGGTTAATTCAGATGCATAATGTTACACAGATACGGTAAACATTTACAGGACAGGCTCCTGATTCTGTAGCTATATATATGAATACTCACATGAAACATTTCCCACAGGAAAAATGGTACTTACTTTTCTAGACAAAACACAAAGAAACAGGAAGATGAACATCCCCTGAAATGCATTGAAGATTGTAAAAAGATACGCAGTGACCACTGATCCCTGAACGACATGAAGCACCCCAAAGATCCAGGTAGCTCCAAGAAGGAACAGGAGAGCAAGAGCACCCCGAGCACAAGACCTAGGCAAAAGCAAAATAATGCAGTCAGTTTGGTGACAAATGTGATTTTCTTCTTCTAATCTCTCCTTTGGAAAATGAATTATTCACAAAGGCCTGAGGACATTTAGCCTTTTGCAATGACATGGTGTGTACTTTAGGATGTGCTGCAGGACTATTGCAAGAATGTGCTCACAGTCATTGTAGAGCAGTACAAGAGTAAAAATGAATGCCTTGAAAACCACTGGCTTTCTTAATTTTCATACAAGTTTCCTCTGGTGTACTGCAGTGCTGTATGATTTGATTTTAAATATACTGTGAGTGTAATTCCCTAAGGTAAAACATATGTCTATTATGAAGGATTCTCCATCCCCAAACCAGAAAAAATGTACCGTGTGTTCTTAGGTCAGCACAGATGCATGGCATCAAAGGGTCTTATGGCTCCCTGATCAGAAAATGGAGCCATCAGTAAAACCATACACTCGCTTAAAAAAAACCATTTTGCCTTTACAACACAAATAACTTCACATAGTTCCTAGTCAGAATATTGCTGCTTTAATATGCTATAAATTGATAGGCTGTGATTTATTTTTGCTAATATTGTGTATAGCTCCCTTACTCTGGCAAATGTTATCTTGAAAATGAAACCACTCATTACTTCCTTATTCATTCTTAGCCCCGTCATTGCAGGACCTCCTTAAAGCAGAAGACATTTTTAGCATTGTTCCTCTGAAAATGAATAATTTTCAACTTCATTAAAACCAGCTCACTACATGAAGCTATGAAAGATGAGGGATAAGAGAAAGTAATCAATCAAACCATTTCTAAATCCCAACTATAAATCTTGGGCAATGCATTGAAACTGCAGGAGTGTTTCTAAGCAACACAAACAGTAAGTTGTTTTCAATGTTCCCTGTAGTACACTTCAGCTTTTCCTGCACAAACGGTTTTCAAGGTCCCTATAAATCAGTTTTAAAGAGAGTGAGTTGATGGAAAAATCATAGCAGCATGCAAAGTAAAAATCCTGGGGAAGGAAAAAGAAAAGAAACAGTGAGCCTCATTGTACTATTTCTTCACAGATAAAGTGACTCCCTGAGAACTTGGTTTCTTCTTCATATATTTATTGTATGTCTCTTTACTCAGGGAGAAATCTTTTAATTCTGATTCAGTCTCAACTCATGAAATCAGTTTTTGCCCTAGAAGGCTGCAGGATCTGATGCTTCCAAAGGAATGGAAAATTGGTCCTTTAATCCTGACTACCAGCCTTTCATCTTTTCTTTATAAAGGGCCAGACTCTGATACTCATCTCGTGCAGTGCTTGTATACCCTGCAAGCTGCCCCATGCATGACATTGGGACAATCTGAGGAGTAGGGAGTTGCTCAATGTGAGCAAAAGAGGGCAGAATCCAGCCCCAAATAAACTTAATGTGATAGCAGAGAATTACAGTTTTTTCTACAAACCATTCAAAAATCCTGGTGTAGGCAAATTCATTATTTTTGCAAGGATCACTTCAGTATCTAACTGTATTTAAAGTTATGGATGGATGGTGGACTTTGTGTTAAAAGGGAAACTTACCTTATATTTTCATAACAGCTAACTTCTGGCTTTAACATTGCAGTGTGTTGAAACACTTTGTAAATAATCACCCCAAAAGCCAGCAAATTAACCTGAGGAAAAGAATGGTTTTGGTTTTAGTTCAGACTAATGTGCAATATTTAAATAAAACAAGTAAACTAAAGATTTCTGTGCACATGTAATGTAAAAAAACCTGTTGTTGGGGAGCAAAATCCTCTCTCCAATGCACATATATTAAAAAAATATTTATGATCCCTGTAATAAAGAATGATCAAACAGGTCTGCAACTCTTCCTTACCTCAACAGTATCACCAACAGTAGCCTGCAAATGTTTTTATTGATTTTATTGGGAAATCTCTTATATTTCCTGCTCAGACTTTTTTCCTCTGTGTGCATGTGTATTTATAAAAATAAAACCTTACAGATTTTTCATTATATGTTATATTGATGAAATGTATGTTTTTGTTGCCAAATAATATCTATGGCATAATATAGTCTGAGGTCTTTAGGGTGAGTATACTTTCAAGCAGAATAAAAAAGCCGAGGTTAACCCAAATAATTTAAAAAATAACTTTGGTTGATGGATTCATTTCTGGGTATAATGTGTTATATTTTTATTTTCTTGACTGGGGAATAATTTTTTAGTGATTTTTGGACCAGTTTTTATGATGATGGTGCTTTATTTGTGGTTGAAACATAAAAAAAAAACCCTAAAAAAGAGGTTTTGCAAATGATGCTCAATTTGCATGCTTGGCCAGGCTTCACTGAGCTTTCATATTTAAGTTTCTACTACATTCCTCTTACAAGATGTATGGGTTTGCGGTCTTCCTTTTTTAAATTTCTTATTTTGGTTTGCACCAGTTAACATCAGCATCTATTAAAAATGTTAATAAATGAAGCAAGTTTCAAATGGGTGTCTTCCAGATTCTCTTTGTAAATGCTTGTGGGATTACAGCTGTAGACTGAATAGAATTAATATCTCTCTGTCTTGTTTCTCCAGAATGATCGTGTTTATGAATCCCCTTTCTCTTCCTTTAAAAAAACATTATAAAAGTGCAGCATCACCATTAAGGTATCAGTTTAATTTTCTAACATTTGCTGTCTTTGGTCTCAGAACATTGTTGATTATGTTGGGGGATATTAGGTATGTTGTTAAATGCAGGCTCTGCTTTAATTAGCCTGCTTTAATACAGTAATAATGTATTTACGATTTGATAAGACAGGAGAGAGAGCTGATTAGTAGTTTAGGGAATTAATTCTTCATTGAATACCTTGCACTTGCACAGATCATGAGATTTTCCGAAGCTACTTACATTTAAAATTGTAATCTATAATATCTCCTAAACCAGCAATTTTTCAAAGTTAATTATAAGTCAGTAGTTATGATAATTATATGCAGAGTTACATTTTATCATATATTTGCTGGTGAATAATAGATCAAGTAACTTGGCATATACAGTATAGTCTGCATAGCCACACTGAAGTATTTTTAAAATATTGTCTAAAAAATAAGGTAAATGTGATCAAAATACTGTACAGAGTACTCACTGAAATTTCCCTATAAAGTGGCATAAGATTGGTAACTTTTGAATCATGATACAAAGCATGGCCTAGTTTCTCTTCAACGGGCCTGTTTCAAAATCCACCAATGCCAAATAAGAGCCTTTTTCATTTACTTCTATGGTCTTTGTAGCAGGCCCTGTGGACAATCCCTATTATTCCTTACCATGGACAAAAAAGGCTTGAAAGGTGTCTCAGTCCACATACTTCTCACAGCTCCTATAGGACAGGAATGGCGCAGCCAATGGGAGCTTTGAGTTGCCATACCTGCAGATGAACAGGTAAATAAAGCGCAGGTGGCCCATCGGCCCACTCCTGGTCAAGGGGATGGGTGAGGTTAATGCTGGCTTCATTGGAGTCTGCCATGAAAGAGTTTTTGTACTGTGTGTCTGAAATAACCTCATAGGAACTTGTGTTATAGGGTAGTGACTGTGAGCTTTACTTCTGAAATACATGGTATTTTGGAAGAGTTATTAAAATCCTAAATATGTTTTTAACCCATGTTCTAACATTTCCAGGCACTATGTACATAAAAAATAATGAACCAAATATATTTGCAGTGTGTACATTAAAGTGAGAAATGCTCAAAACAGAGACTTGTATGCAAATTTTTCAAACCCCAGCAAGACACTTTTTGCACTGCAGCTTTGCCTATTAGATGACCCAAGAGGAGGTGATAACAAAATAGTTACAGTTCCTCCCAAGAAGCCACAGTTTTCCTAAGTAAGGAAGGAATTGACAGTATGTCTTGTTATAAAGTTTTGCTATCAATAGAACAGAGGCTAAATGTCTTGAGAAACTGTTGTGCGTCCTGTCAGGGGGCTCTGTGAAGTATGTATTTGTTTTTGGTCTGCTGTTCTAACACCATATGATCTAACGGGGGAAAAGGGAACTGTAATATCCCCTAGAGAGAAATCAGGTCTGGAAACTGCATTCTCTTGCAAAAAAGCAGGGGAAACGGCATTGTACACTCATAAAAACCAGGTGTTGTGGGGCAAGTGGCAAACTGAATTCTTATTATTCTGCTTTTCCCCTTTAACATCAGGTACACAATTGAAAAGCTTCTGATTTAGAGCCCAAATCTGCAGACCTGCAGCCCTTATTCTCGATGGGGACTGAAGATGTTCAGCAACTTGGAGGATTGGCTGCTTTGCAAGAACAACTTTTGCAATTACTCTCATTTTTCTGCCATGTCTTATGAAGTTCAATTACATAAATGGTTGGTCAAAGAGCATAGAGTAACAGTCCCTAATCTACCATCAACCACACATTGCCTGCTTTTAAATGCATTTGCCAAAGCATATTTAGTAAGACTTATCTTACTTTCTAATAGCATTTATGCACATTGGTAGATTTGTGATTTTACAACTTTTATGTAAATAATAACAAAAAAAGTGAATGAGTGTGTAAATGAAAAGCCACTGAAAAAGGAAAATTATCAGGGTTTCATCAATAATGTATGTTGCAGAAGGAGACCTCTATGTGTATGATTCAATGTAATTAATCCCAGATTCCTCCAGGGAGTGTCACAAATGATATCCTGGAACACTGGTTTTCGTGTTAGGAGGATCCAGGATTAAACTGAAAGATATTGACAGCTCCCCATTGGGTATACATTAAGACAATTCAAGGAACACAAGTTATTTAATCTTTTGTTGGCACCTTCCAGACATTAAACAGCTAGCTTTGAATGCACTTTTTGCCATTCTGTAATAGAAGTGCTACATTTTGATTTCCACAAAACACACTCTTCTTTTGTAGGATCCTCCATATGCAGGACAGGACAGTTCAGAAATCAAAGATAAAATCCTGGCCCTAGTGAAGTCCATGGCATGACTCCCATTATCTTTAGTGCTGCCAGGATTTCATGTTCTGGAGGAACAGTGGAGTATCAAAAGATTTACATGTACGAATGGATAATTATCTGAGCCTCTTCAGCTGCATAACTCACTCTATAGTTTATGGCCCACCTACATGTATGTCATGGTGAATGATGTCCTCCCGAAGAAAAACTCATGCACATTCCAAGAAATCTACAGAGCCCGCGATTAATCAGCTTGTCATGAGAATTGGTTTGTTTGCCAATGGAATCAGCAAAGGTGTGTCTTTCCAACCACCTTATTCCATGATCCATGGAGAGAGTTACATAAAATGGTTCCACCCTACTTGCTTGTCTACCTCAGCCCTGAGTTAGGATGGTTCCCTCTGAACTCTGAGTGCTGTTTCTTTCCTGCCTCTGCTCTCCTACCCTTATAAGAGGCTAGATATATAGGAGTGAGTCTGAATACAGTGAAAGTGTCACTGCAAGGATTCAGAGAAGTACTGAAAAATAGCATTATGTTATTGTGTAAGCAAATTACAAACTTCCTTGCTGAGCTCTAACTGAATTTGGCAAATTATGTAATCGTATAAAGATGATCACATAGGTTTTAAAAACCTAAATGCTCCAAGCTGTTGGAGTCATGCTAATAGTATATTGCTTAGCAACTGCTAAGTTTAAAAATGATCTTTAATTCCGCTGTTAAAATGTTAAAAATGGGGTATTTTATAATGGCAGAATAACAATGTTATATCCTGGAGTAAATGTTATGTTTGTACTTTGCATTATATGTACTTTGCATTATATGAAACACTTCTGTATAATGCTAATTATTTTTTGTTGAGTGCTGAATATTACAAAATATATACAATGTATTAAAGGATGCGATTTAATTGCTTGATTCTGCTATCCATACTCATGTTGAGTAGTAGCTTACTCCATTAGTAGCCTTTACTAAATCACTTTCACTTGAGGTGAAAGGGTACTATTCAATGTGAGTAAGAGTGACAACTGGCAGCTTACTGAGCAAGGAGATTTGCCATCATTTTGCTCCATCAGTTTATGTTACAGCTTTCAGATTTTGCAACCAAGAGAATACTTTTTTTTTGATAATGTACAGAATGTGTGGCACAAGAGCAACTGATTGCACAAGTATGTACAGTGGGTTTCTGCCAGATGCTTTGTTATAAGGAAGAGCACAGGATAACTCTGCCCAGAACTGTCTAAACTTAACCATTTATAGATCAGTAATAGTTTAATTTGAAACTAAGCTTTCTGAAACTATTTCAAGAACAAATTTATTTACCAAAGAGAAAAAGAATGTATATGTTCATAAATAGCGATTCTGCTCTAAGAACACTGAAGACACAGTTTAGCTTTCCACAGAATAATAAAGTCCTTTTAGTTTCAGACTCTAAGGCTCTCTCTCCATCATTACAAAGCAGAGCTAGTACAATAAAGGAGCTAATTCTAAAGAATCAGATGTACTAGTTCTGATTCAGTCTGAGCACTCCACATTCAAACTTCAAAAATGAAGCCCCCAAATCATCCTTTTTTCCTTTTTTCAGTCTCTGTCTCAATAATTGATGAAACCATCTATATGCTGATGTCAGATCTCACAAAAAAGAATGAGAAAATTTCTCCTGCTGCTCTCTTAGGCATATACTTGAATTTTTTACACACATTAGATTGAATTGGGCTCCTTCAAACAGT